TATCAGTGTTGAGTGTCGGACTTGGTGTGTATGTTTCATCTTCTTGTGGCATTACTTATCATTTTGGATAATTTCTTTCTTTATATTTTTTTCTCATCGAATAAAACTTTAACTGATAGACACTCATGAACTAATTCATACGAAGGTATTTCTTTATCGTATTTTTTGGGTTGTAAGGAGTATGTTACTTTTCTTTAAACTTGGGAAGTTATTTCTGTACACACATAGACCTCTAAATATTTCTGGAACCGGTTGAGTTTGTTTTTCTCTGACTAACTTTAAAACTTATAACTTTAAATTAAAAGTGGAATTGAAAGAATTTGAGTTCTGGCTATGTATTTTATATTTATTTATTTAAATCAAGTAATATATAAAGCCTTAATAGGCCAATCCACCATATTACAAATGCAAAATCCTGAATAAAATACTTATATGACTGTAAATTACAAAATCTATTATAATTTACAACAATATGCAAAAATTAATTAATAATAAAATAATATATATATTAATACACATAACTCATAAAAATTAATTAAATCAATGAAAAACTATTGGCTCCCCAATCAAAGATAAAGTAAAAAAAAAATGTAATGAAAAAAAAAAAAAAAAAAATCAAGTAAGACTGCTATATTCGGCTGTGCCGAATCTTATATACCCTTCACAACAGTGTATTTAAAAAATATCAATTCTATAAAATTTTAATTTCATTTTCCCGTTTATATCATTATTATAGCAATAGCAAAACAACAACGCTAAACGAAATAAACACACAAGAAAACAAAATACACAAGGCAGTAAAACCAACAGACATCCAAACATACGAAAAGAAATACACAAAAAACAAAATACACAACGCAATGAAACCAACAGACATTAAAACATACGAAACTGAATACACCAAAAAACAAAAACAATATACACAAGGCAATGAAACATACGAAACGAAATACTCCAAAAAACAAAAACAAAATACACAACGCAATGAAACCAACAGACATACAAACATACGAAACTGAATGCACCAAGAAACAAAAACAATATACACAAGGCAATGAAACACACAGTCATCCAAACATATAAAACGAAATACTCAATGAATAAGCAGTGTTGTTGTTGTTGCTTATATCAAAGCAAAAATAAAAATGAATGTGATTCAAATTAGTAAAACATTATTCCCAACAATAATTTCAATTAAATTTATACTGATATAAATAACCTCAAATTTCTGATAAATCGTTAATTGAAATATTTAAACAAAAAATATTTTTCTTGAGTATATATGTACATACATATGTATATAAAAATAAGCATAACACCATTCAAATTTTACAATAAGTGTTTGCTATCTGTGTATGTCAAAATAAATTATAGAAATTATCTTAAAACGAAAAAAAAATCTCCATAGAGATCAAGGTGCGTGATAAACTGTAAAGTTAATAATAAACTGAACTAATCAATATCAGAAAAATGTGTCAATAGTTTTAGACGAAACGAGTTGTTAGAGTGGGAAAATATACGGAGGTCAAAGGGTAAGCTATTCCAACATTCTCAAAATAAAAGATCGCTCAAAACAACTACACCTAATCCGGAGAATAATGATTTGAGGATTCCTAGTAGAGTGAGAAAATGTAAATCTTGAGCAAAGTTGAAACGGTATACCTATTTTCATAGCCCTAAAGAAGAGTAGTAAATTACGATACAAAATAAACTGTCTAAAATTGCATCCAAGAAAATCACTAAGGAAAATCACTAGGATTAAGAAGCAAAGAGTTTTGATCAGACCACTGAGCAAAGCGCCTAAGGCTGTAATTAATGTAATAAATTTTCATTGATTTAATTAATTTTTATGAGTTATGTGTATTAATATATATACATATATTATTTTATTTTATTATTAATTAATTTTTGCATATTGTTGTATATTATAATAGATTTTGTAATTTACATAGTCATATAAGTATTTTATTCAGGATTTTGCCTTTGTAATATGGTGGCCTATTAAGGCTTTATATATTACTTTATTTAAATAAATATATAAATAATGTTTGACTCTAGTACATCATCACGATTAGCATTAAACAAAAGAAATACATCATCCGCAAACAAGAACGATTTGCTAACACTATTATCAATATATTCCGGAAGATCATTAATGTATAAAATGAACAGAAGGGGTCCCAAAACAGATCTCTGGGGAATCCCTGAAAAAGTGGGAGAAGCCTACAATATTCTCCATCAATATCGAAAAATTGTTGCCTACCAGAAAGGTATGAAAAAATCAGCCTACATGCAGATCTAGAAAACCCAAAAATTACACCCAATTTGTAAATCATTACCGAGTAATCGACGGAATTAAAAGCTTTAGTCAAATCAAGGGCAATTAGAGAAGTTAATCTGTTCTCATTGACATTAACAGGAATATAATCTGTCAAATTTAATAGTAAAGAGGTAGTATTATGACCTCGACGAAAGGCGTATTGTGAAGGAACAATGCTACCATTAACAAGCGATAAAATTGGTCTTTGAGTATGTGCTCCACAACTTTAGAGAGCGCAGGAAGAATCGAAATGGGCCTCAAGCCATCAACCCTGTGAACAGTACCAGATTTCGGAATAGGGACAACTCGGGCTACCTTCCATAAGCAGGGAAAAGAAGAAGTAGTCAATATAGAGTTTACAAGGAATATCAAAAGATTATCAATATAGGGAAAAATTATTTTGAGAAAATTGATCGGTATGAAATCAGTGCCGACAGATTTGGACTTAACTTTACACATAGTCAGCCATAACTCATCCTGAGTAACACTCCTAACAGAAAATGACCCAACAAGATTATCAAAATGAACACGATTTGTCCTTTCCGCGAAAGGACATATTGTAGTATAACAAAAAAAAATTATGTTTTTTATTTTAATTTACTATTATACTATTATTTAGATCATAATTATTAATATTAAGAATTAATTTTTTTATGTAACCTTTTTATAAGTATAAATTTATGACCGATTATGACCTATATTGGCTAGGTTATTAGAATAAAGAAATTGAAAATAGATTGATGTCGCTTTGATTTACAAATTCAAACACAATTTGTAAAAACAAACACACAACGTGCAAAAACAACGTACATTCCAAATATTTTTGTGGAATGCATAAGAATACAAATAAATAAGATCGTACTTCTTTATTACTTTTTTTGTACATTTTATATTAAAATATTATTTTATGTGAAGAAATTATAATTTTTATTTTTATATTATTAGTATTTTTTTATACCCACCATCAAAAAAGATGGGGGTGTATTGATTTTGTCATTCCGTTTGTAACACATCGAAATATTGGTCATAGACCGACAAAAGTATATATATTCTGGGTCCTTATTAAATTGTAGACGATCTAGCCATGTCCGTCCGTCCGTCTGTCTTTTGAAATCACGATAGGGACCACACGGGAGCAGCTCGACAGCTGAAATTTTGCATAAATATTTTCTATTTTTAAGGTTTGTTTGGTATTGAAAATGGGCAATATCGGTAGACATTTTTGCACATAAATAAGTTATATATAAGCCAAAATCTCTCCACCAAATTTTATGAGGATCGGACCATAAGTGACCCTACCCCCCATATAAGGTCCTCTTCTAAAAATGACTATAACGCACATTACTGGCTTAAATATTTGAATAGAGTGACGAAATTCGACACATATAAGTTTTATGCGAGCCAAAATCTCTCTACCAAATTTAGTGAGGATCGGTCCATACAAGGTCCCCTTCAGAAAATGATCTCTCCACTAATTTTTTTAGTATCGGCCCATAAATGACCTTACTCCCATATAAAAAGGGCCTCTTCTGAAAATGACTATAACGCTCATTACTGGCTTAAAAATATGAATATAGTGACGAAGTTCGACACATATAAGTTTTATGTGAACCAAAATCTCTACTAAACTTAGTGATCGGCGCATAATTCAACCTATCGCCCATACAAGGTCCCCTTCAGTGAATTCTTTAACGCTCATTACTGGTTAAAAAAATACGAGTATAGCGATAAAATTTGACACAAGTAAGTTCCTCGCGAGCCAAAATCTCTCTAACAAATTTTATGTGGATCGGTTATAATTGACCCTACCCCCCATATAAGGTTCCCTTTAGAAAATTACTTAAACGATCTTTGCTGGCTCAAAAGTACGAGCTATGAAATACAGTTATGAAATTCGACATAAGAAGCTTTTATACGAACGTTAATCTTGCTACCGAATTTCATGCGGAATGTGTCGGTAACTCACCCTACCCCCGATATAAGCCCCCTTCAGAAAATTACTTTAACGCTAATTACTGGCATAAAAATGCGAGTACAGCGATGATATTCTATGTAAACAAGTTTTATATGAACCAAAATCGGTCTACAAATAGTTATGTCAATAATTGACCGTACCCCTCATATAAGGTCCTCTTCAGAAAATTTGAAGAGGAGGATTTAGAAAATTACTATTACAACGATGAAAATCGACATAAAAAATTTTAAAAATACGAGTACAGCGATGAAATTTGACATAAACAAGTTCTATACAAAACAAAATCTATGTACAAAATTTTATGAGTATGATTTATAATTGACGCATATAAGGTCATCTTCAAAAAATTATACGCTCAAAATATTTTGTTTTTAAAAATTAAAAGTTTGTTAGTTTTAAAGAGATCGGTCCATAATTGACTTACACCCCTATTATGTAAGTCGTTGTCGACACCAATTTTGAGTCGTCGTAAAATTTGCTGTCGACAGAAATTTTTCATGACTTAAAATAATAAAAAAAATTATCGGAATTTACAAAAAAAAAAGTTATTTTTACTGTCGACAATGACTTATGTATATAATAAGGGTGTTAATCCATAGGGCATACGGTTTGATGGTGGGTATATGAGATTCGGCACAGCCGAATATTACACTCTCACTTGTTTTAAATTAGTATTAATGTAAATTAAATACTGAGCTAACTTACGTGCATGGTTCCCCAAGTCATTTTGTGGAATTTGCTGACGTTGCATTACAACTGATCGTTGTTGAAATAGCTGCTGCTGTTGCATATTGTTTTGTTGAGATGTAGGTATTTGTTGAATTATATGACTTGAAAACTGTTGGCCAACGATTTGTCTTGGTTGTTGCATCGTTGGATATTTTTGCATAGACACCACTGTTTGATTGGGTTGTGAGCTTTGATTTACATTTGCATGATTTTGCCCTAGTGGATTATGCGCATTGTGTGGCACAAGAGGTTGAATAGGTCCCGGTCCTTTTAGAATTGGTCGTCCTTTAAAAAATATTATTATTTTTTATAGTTGTATATTTTTTTGTTAGATGTACAACTACTACTTACCCATTGGCTTGTTAGGCATGTTATTATGTAGAGGATGATTCGATTCCACTGTTGAATGTGTAATAAGTGGCCATTTTAGAGGTCCTGGTGGTTGATTGCGTATTTGAGATTTTTGTTGAGGAGACATTTGTGGGCTACCATTTGCAGCTGGTGCAATTTGATGCTGCTGGTGCATGTACTGAAAATTTCCCCCACCAAGTATCATTCTGGGCTGGTTTCCAAGCTGATACGACATTTGTTGGCCATGAATCTATAAAAATTTTTACATTTATTAGTTTACACTTTTTATTTATTGTACAATTTCGTGTCAAGTGACCATACTCAAAAAATCGAATTGGATGAAAGAATAGAGGTAAACTATTCCGGTTTTTTAAGCCAACGTTAAAGTCACTTTTTGAAGGAATCAATATGGGTGCATGGGTTTAGTATGGTTTCATGTTCACCCCAGTTAACAGTATAATTTCTGAGTACATAGAACTAACTTATGAATGTATGGGGTTAGATAAAATCGATGACCGATATTACCTATTATTAATACCAAAAAAATGTTATCAATAGAGAATATTTCAACCTTTTCTCAATTATATGTATATGTATATTAATTAGGGTGATTCAAACTTGTATGAAGGAAAAAAATTTGTCTGACAGTTCCCTCTCTAGAATTGTTCTATGGGTTGTAAAACTATGTCATACAAAAAATTAGGCTGATTGGATAACGTTAACAGGTACCGCAACGGCTCTGAAATTTCCAAGTGCATTTACAAGGGGAAAATATAGATTTTTTTTCAGTTTTTGCTCAAATTTGGCCATTTAGTAAAAAAAAATCGGCGGATTTCTGCAAATATTTTTGAGAATACATATTAATTCTTTATATTTTCTGATCTATAATACTCTGAAAATACTTTATTTAAAATGTACATAAGTAAATAATTAATACGTATTCTCTAAAATATTACCAAAAATTGCGATTTTCCCGAAATCCGTCGAGTTCAAAACGCAAGTACAGCTAATCTGTAAGAAATATTGATATAATTTTTTTTACCGTTTAATAACTTTATCTATTGACCATAAATCCCCATGAGATCCCCTGAAAGTTTTGAAATTTGTTTAACAAAGTTTCAAAAAAACTGAAATTAGAGATTTGAAACGGCCCACAGACGGTTGAAATTGTCAAAAATGGAGATTAATTCTTATTGCTCATCGATATGTTAAAACGCATAAAAATACAATTTTTTTAATAAAAATACATAACAAAAAAATTTTTTGCCGAAAAATAAAACAGCCCTTAAATGTTTTATTTTTCGGGAAATAATTACTTGATTTAGAATTTTCGATGTAGCTTTATAATGAAAAGCGATAACTTAAAAAGTTAAATTGGAAATGAAGGTACACTATCGGACAAAATAAAGTGCAAAAGTACTCATGTATATTCTTTCAGCGAAAAATCGGTTAAATGATTATTGAATATGGAATTTTTTTTCAAAATCATTTAGTTTATATACAATGCTAGAAAAATAACAATAAAACTTAATTATTCTACTTAAAATTTTTCTGCATAACATCTAAAATTAAAATAAATTCACTTTTTTGTCGGACAAAATAAAGTGTAAATTTTATATATCATTATTTAAATTTCTTGTATATCAAAATTTTTTATCTATTTTGGTTCTGATTTTAATATCTGTATCTATTTAAGCCATTTTGGTAATTTTGTTCTCCATTATTATTCGCAATCGCTTTCCCTTCCCCTTGCTATCCCCATATGATAATTTTCAAAAGAAATACGTTTTTGATCACTATTTCATCGGAATTTTTTGATAAATTGTGGTCCAAAATTAATCTATTGGATTTAGGGCGGTGCTCTGAGCAACTTATTTCAATTTTCAGTGATTTTTCCCACAGTAATGTTATTTTTTAACTTTATCAAGTGCTTAAGCTTATTATCTTGCCGAAATATAAAGTTGCCCAAGTCCATTTCGAAGGCACTGATCTTAAGATTTCACTGCAATATGCTCATATAGTGTTCATTGGAGCTTTTTGAATAAATTTCACCTAGGTTCCCCACACCTAACGTTAAAAATTGGACACTTACGAAGAGTCAACTGACCCATACCTTCAATCTTTCACCAACATATTTAAAAGCTTAAAATTTTTTTTCGATTTTAGTATTTAATTTCATATTTTTAGATCAAATTTACGTAGTTGGTCAGATGAGTCCCAATTTCTACCGAAAATTTTGAAATGTCGACAATGAGTGTGAATTAAGCCCTTCAATATACAAAATTTAAAAAACAATACCCCAGGTTTCAAATATTATGGTGGAGGGCTATCGGTATTGTTACATTATTCAACTTTAAGAGCGAGAATCTTAGTGAAAATGGAGTAACTAATAACAAATGAGCAATTCACGAGCTTATTTAATAAAAATTTGGAAATAAATGCCGTAAAAATGGGTTTGGGAGACTTAATGCCTCAACCGATTCATGACTTCAAACACACGACTAAGGTTAAAAACATTATTGTAAAAAAAAAAACACTGAAAAATTTTAATGACCTGCTCAGAGCATCGCCCTAAATCTAATAGATTAATATTTGACCACAATTGATCACAAAATTCCGCTGAAATAGCGAACAAAAACGGATTTCTTTTGAAAATAATAGTATGGGAGAAAGCAAGGGAAAGTGAAAGCGATTGCGAATAATAATGGTAAAATAATTACAAAAATGACTTGAGTAGATCCAGATATTCAAATCAGAACCAAAATAGATAAAAAATTTTGATATACATAAAATTAAAATAATGATATATAAAATTTACACTTTATTTTGTCCGACAAAAAAGTGAATTTACGTTAATTTTAAATGTTATACAGAAAAATTTTAGGTGGAATAAATTTGTTTTATAGTTATTTTTGTAGCATTGTATATAAACTAAATGAATTTAAAAAAAAGTTACATATTCAATAATCATTTAACAGATTTTTCGATAAAATAATGTAGCATGAGCACTTTTGCACTTTATTTTGTCCGATAGTGTATATACTTTGTACTATTTGAAAAATATAAAAATTAATCCAGTTTTGTATATATATAGAAAAAATTACTTTAAATTAAAAATTTGGGTTTAGATCGATTTCAATAATTTTACAATATTTTTGAAAAACTTAATGAAATACATTTTTATAATTTTTTTCTTGATAAATAATCATACTACACTCAAAACAAAACCATTTTATAAAAAATATAAATATTTGTTTTTGGCTTATTTGACACTTTTATTGAATATGAGCATGACTTATCAATTTGCTTTAATTTGGAAATAAGTAGCTATAATTAACCATTTTTTAAATATGTTTTTAAAAATGTGTTATTAAAATTATTTATTATTATTTAAAAAAATAATTAAATAATAAAAACTCGTTAATAGTCCCCATGGTGCCAAACATTTTTATACTTCTCTCCATTACTATTCTTCATCTGAAATATTTTCGCCTTCTGCGAATAAAGTTAAAAAATAACATTACTGTAGGAAAAATCACTGAAAAATTGAAATAAGTTGCTCTAAGCACCGCCCTAAATCCAATAGATTAATTTTGGACCACAATTGATCAAAAAATTCCGCTGAATAGTGAACAAAAACGGATTTCTTTTGAAAATAATAGTATGGGGGAAAGCAAGGGAAAGTGAAAGCGATTGCGAATAATAATGGTAAAAAATGGCTTGAGTAGATCCAGATATTCAAATCAGAACCAAAATAGATAAAAAATTTTGATATACAAGAAATTTAAATAATGATATATAAAATTTACACTTTATTTTGTCCGACAAAAAAAGTGAATTTATTTAAATTTTAGATGTTATACAGAAAAATTTTAAGTACAATAATTTAGTTTTATTGTTATTTTTGTAGCATTGCAAAACTAAATGATTTTGAAAAAAATTTCGCTGAAAGAATATAGCATGAGTACTTTTGCACTTTATTTTGTCCGATAGTGTATATATATCAAATTTTAACGTTACTGACTGACTGATTCACTGACTAATTCATCATCGCACAGCCTAAACGGTTGAAGCTAAAGAGCTGAAATGTGGACAGGAGGTTTGTCTCTTTGTTTGTCCAAGACGGGAATTTTGGAAATTCGAATATCTCCTAAACTAGAAAAGATACAAAAACAGTTTAAAGCTTGTCGTCGTTCATTTAAAAAATAAGCGGACAGGTGTCTGGTACATTTTTCAAGTTCGGACCCTTTAGGGAATAAACGTGTAAAAACAGTATTTTGGTACTTTTTTTTTTGCACCCCATGTATCTTTTAAACCAGTGAACATTCAAACAATATTTTTGACTTCTTTATAACTTGACGAAAAAATAAAAATATGAATTTAGTACTTTTTGGATATACGGACGTTTAAGGGGTGAAAATTGTACCTTTTTTTGGTACTTTTTTCATAGAACATTGATTTTGGTTTATTAACTTATACCTACATATGAATACATAATAACGGGCTCCCAATACGATGTTGCAACTTTTTGGAATATAATTTTAATTTAATGGGGAGGAAAAAAGTACCAAAAGGGGTAAAAGCGGGAAATTTGATTTTATTCAAGCAATTTATATAAAATTTTTAGATTTAGAAACACTAAATATGCTAATGGGGTGTTATTTGGAACACCGGTACCAAGTGATATTTTTTGGTACTTTTTATACCCGCCATCAAAAAAGATGGGTGTATATTGATTTTGTCATTCCGTGTGTAACACATCGAAATATTGTTCACAGACCCCAAAGTATATATATTCTGGGACCTCGAAAAATTCTAAGACGATCTAGCTATGTCCGTCTGTCTGTTGTTGGCACGATAGCATCCACAAAAAAAGAGATATTGAGACGAAATTTTCCCAAAATATTTTTTATTAAAATTAAACCTAGAAATATGAAATTAAACATGTAGAGCCCGGAGTAAATGAGAATCTATAAAAGGGGACTTTTTGGTACTTTTTCGTCCTTTAAAAGGAACTTTTTGAATTTTCTATAATATTAAACCTAGAAACATGAAATTAAGCATGTAGAGCCCGGCTGGCTGGCACTTTTTGAGTTTTCTATTAAATTGAACCTAGAAACATGAAATAATGCACGTGGAGCCCGGAGTAAATGGGAATCTATGAAAGGACACTTTTTGGTACTTTTTCGTTCTTTGACTGGTACTTTTTGAGTTTTCTATAAAATTAGAACCAAGAAACATGAAATTAAG